GTTCATCTTCAGAACACAAATTAAGATATTTTTGATGAAATCTGAGAGCTTTCTGACCTTGCATAGACAGCAATGCATCTAAGAGAAGAAATTGTTGAATAAAGTCATTATTTTTGTTTTCTTTGCACACAAAAAGTATTCTCGTAGCTTCATAAAATTAAGGTTGAACCACTGATGTCACTATTTGGATATTTTAACAATGTCCTTATTAATTTTCTGGGTCTTGAACGTGTCAGTTGCGTTGCTGTCTATGGAGGATCAGAAAGCTCTCGGATTTCTTCAAAAATATCTTAATTTGTGTTCCAAAGATGAATGAAGGTCTTAGGGGTTTTGGAATGACATGGGGGGGAGTAATTAATGACAACATTTTCATTTTTGGGTGAACTAAATTTTTAAGTATAGAAAAAAATATATTTTTTTTTTATTATGAAATGTTCATGTCCCCAAGCTTATTCTTCACTTATCTCTTAAAAAAAAACATGGGTAATGGCAAATCAAAGCAATTGTTGTGTATTGCAGTGCAGCATCTAATTCCCACTTTCTCTCTGTTTTAATCACAGATTGTGATCTTCACTAACTCCACAAACAAGCAGGAGATGGCGATGATGCTTGAGTTTGCCCATGCCTGCTTACAAGCGCACTGAAGTGTCTGAAGTCTTTCCTTTAGCACGGCTTGAGCCCAATCCCTTTCCAACAAGTGAGACTGCTAAATAGGGATTGACCTGTAAAGTATCCAGATCATGGCTCAGAGGTCAGCTCATTTCAGAGGTCACGGCCCCTCCTGGCCACTTCATCTCACTCTACTGCTGCTTCTATTGGCCAGGACACCCCAGGCTTTGGCTGTCCCAGGTTACAACACTGACACCTCCAAGAAAGATATCATAATGGAGGGGGACCTGGTGATTGGAGGCCTGTTTCCTGTTCATCAAAAGGGGGAGGGGGCTCAGGACTGTGGCCGTATCAATGCACAAAGAGGGATTCAGAGACTGGAGGCGATGCTGCTAGCCCTGGACAAGATCAATCAAGATGATCAGATTTTGCCCGGGGTAACGTTAGGTGCCCACATTCTGGACACTTGCTCAAAGGACACTTATGCGCTGGAGCAGTCTCTCGAATTTGTGCGCGCTTCGCTTACAAAAGTGGACGATAGTGAGTACACGTGTCCGGATGGATCCTACGCCATCCATGATGATGTTCCACTCGCAATCTCTGGAGTGATCGGAGGCTCCTACAGTGATGTATCCATACAGGTACTGTTTCCCGTCTCCTATGTTTATTCATCTGCTTGTTTGTTTTCTTCCAGCAAAATTTCTTGATAACCAGATTATATGTTGTGATGTAGCAAGTCATAAATGTGCATTAGGAGTCATTTGCATGTATATTGTGTTTATCACACTATGGCTGTCATTCGGCTGTATGCACAAGCCTGCAGTTTAGTTCAGTTAACTCTATAATCTCTACTGTATTATAGCTGATATGCACATTTCTAAAGCCTCTACAGTAAATTCTCAGCATAATTACAAAATTTGCTCAAAAACCTCTTCTATATGCCTTATGTTGTCTGATTGATAGTTTACACACACACATATATATATATATATATATACTAATATATATATATATATATATAGAAAGTAAACCTCCAGCAGGTGGCAGCAAGTGACTGTCTTAATGATTGAGTCATTGAGTCATTCATTCAAACAATTCATTCAGATAGACAACTCTGTGAATGGCCTTGAGTGGCCCAGACACAGCCTGAGCTTGAACCCAATCAAATATTTCTGGAGAAACCTGAAAATGTGCATCTGCCCCCATCCAACCTGACAGAGCTTGAGAGGTGAAGAGGTGAGGAGAAGAATGGCAGATAATTGAAAAATGATGATTAGAAAAGCTTGTCGCAGAAAACATAAAAGACTTTAGACCGTGAAGGTGCTTCAGCTAATTATTTCTTATGCAATGTACTTATTTCAGTTTTTTTTATTTTTAATACATTTACGAAGTGGTGACAATTCTGTTTTTGCTTTGTCAGTATGGTGTATGGAGTGTAGATTGATGTGAAAAAAAAGTAATTTAAAGCAGTTTAACATAAGGCAGCAACATAACAAAACGTGAAAAAAATGCAAGGCACTGTAGTTGTCTGCTATACTGCTGTAAAGAAGGTGTCAGAAGTTCATCTTACTTTTTGGCTATATAAATATCAACAAATGCACCAAAATTAATATTTTGCTCAGTTTGGGCCTCTGAATAAAATTGTGTTTTTTTTTCCCTCCTGGAGTTTGAACTCCTTATTCCTCAATATCATGTATGAGCCATGAAAGTCTGTATTTTGTCTAAAGCCTTATTTTGTCTAAAGAGTCAGTAAACTGTTCTATTATTTAATGTATTATTTCATATGCTGGGCTTTACAGGGTTAAGCAAACAAAACGTTTTTTTTTTTTCTTCAGTTTTGCAAGTTAGGCCTACTTTATTTTTGCTTCTGTAACAAAAATAGTTCCAAACAAAGAACCTTTATATATATATATTACAGCAACACAACATTTTTAATTCCTGAACAACTCAGTGTTCATTCTGAATTAGTTTCTGAATGAATCAGCATTTTGTACAAATGAGTTGAATGAATGATTCAATGGCTCCTTTAATGCCTCAGTTAATTGTATTATTGCTAGTTTAATCAGCATTATTTAGCAAATCAGGTAAATGAATGATTCAATGGCTTGCTCCTAAAGAAAGTAATTTGTTTCCTTTCTGAATGAAATAATATTTTAAATGAATTGTTTGAATGAATGATTCATTGACTGCCATTGATAACATAACTAGATATCTTTAACTTTTAAAATCTCACTTCTGTGGTTCATACTGCAGCATTTAGTAAGACAAATTTGCAGTCTCTTAATGAGAAAAAATAGTGGTGATGTCTGGCTACCTGTCATCCATATGCTCAACCCATCCAATTTGTGGCCAACCATGTGGCGTTTCCTGACATTCCCTGGGATGTCAGGAGCAGACGGGCTGCAGATGCTAGCTTTAAGGAATCAAGACAGTGACAGCTTGATTACACTTTTCACAAATCTACTCCCTGAAGATCTAAGTATACTAAAGAGCGAGTGAGACTGATAATTAGAAGAAAATGTGTAATATGCGTAATAAATTGATTGACTTGATCAACATTCCAGCATCATAAAAGTTTCTGCACTAATGAAAGCTCATATACACTCATGGAAAAACCAGGAGGCAGTTGTACTGTCGAATATTTGCATTCTGCTTAATTTCAAACTTGAGAACATGTAAAACAATTTTACATATTCTCTATGTGTGTCTTACAGGTTCTTATCCATCAAACGCTCTGTCAGAATGCTCTCATCTCATCAGGGAAAATTATAGCTTTGAATTTTGAATTTAATTTTATTTCGATTTTATTTTCAGTTTGGTGTTTAGTTTTTGTTAGTTCTTATTTAAACATGCACAGTTTTAGGTTTAACGCTAATGTGTTATGAAATTTTGTACCATTTTAGTTTAGTTTATTTCCTCCCAATTACTGTATACTACTTGTTATTTTTATTTTAATTAATAACAATGCTTTAATTGAGTTTTTCTTAATGAAACCCACATTATTTGTGCCACAGACATAAATTGTGGGGCATTTTGAGGAGAGGTGTCATTTTACTTTTCCAAGGAATTGAACGTATGATTTTCACGTAGTAAAAAGTTACATTTTCCAAATACATAAATAAAAACCATATATTTACACTGACGGAGGTAGCAGAATATCCTAGAGACTGGGGTGAGCTCTTTTGACCCAAAAGACCTTAGAAACTACAAAGAAAGAAAGAAAAAAAACAAGATCGAGAGAGAGATGTTGCTTGCCTTGTTATTGTGAAATTCTTGAATTGCTGCTTTTGGTGTGACAGGTAATTAGGTGCTTGTTAAGACCCACTGTAAATACCAATAGTACATTTGACAGTTTAAGCCTTACTGAATTGAAATAGCAAGTTAATTATTTATCCCCCCCAACAGAACAGTGTTGGCTGACGAATTGAGGCTTTTAAATAACGCATTAAAATCACTGGCAGTCAGATACATGCTGCGGTTGGAGTATACGAGTCATTCGCTGAGATGGAGAAAGAATTTGTTCATTCTTAAGGAATTCTCGAGCATAATTATTGCAGTGCCCACACAGGGACATGAAATGCATAAATAATGCAGAAAAAAAAACAGACAAGGAGGAAGAGAGAGAGTTAATTGTATGAAATTTTATTTCATCATTTTACAGAAATTCCTTTCCTCTCCCACTCATTTTGCTCTAACTGTTTTTCCTTTCCTCCCTATTCATTGTTTTGATTTATCTTGCTTATCTTTCTGTTTTCTTCATGTCAGGCATCTGTCGGGAGTGTTTCATGCATATATGTACACATATGCACACATGCACGGTTTCTTTCCACATGCTATAAAGGGACACTTTGGGCAGTAGAGAGAGATATTTTCTGGAGAGCTGAAGTGAGTGGGACTCATCTAGCAGCTGTCTTCTAAAGCATGTCACTTGGGATTCCCTGTTCCTGTGCCATTTTCCTCCCCACTTAGAACCGTCATTTCCTTTAAAGAAGTATTTCCCTCCAAAATGAAATTTCTGTCGTTTTTCTTTATAGTGTGGGATACAAAATAAGATATTTTGAAGATTTTCTGAGAAGTCAAAGCATATTTTGACCAGGGGCTGTCTAGCACAGAAAGTACCATTGTTTTTTAAGCCATACAGTATCATCGTGTAAGGAAAATGTGCACATTTTCAAACTTGGCATGCTGAAATGCATTGCTCCAAGTTTGATGTCCATGACACCACACGGCATGGTTTTTTAATGTCATGTAACCAAAGGATTTTGTGCCATTCATAATTTAATTGAGAATGACATTTAAATTCCTGAATTTGAATTGAGGTAGAAAACAGGATGTAGAATTGTAACTGAAATCTGAATGTAAGGAAGTAAAAAAAAAAAAAAAGTAAATACAAGTTAAAATTCATATTTTTTTCCCGTAATTTTTAGCTATGCATCCAATAATGTTTGTAATGCCACAAATTCACCACCATTTCAAAGGTTTGTAGTCAGTAAGATTATTTATTTTATTTTATTTTACTTTTTTATTTTTGTATTTAGTTATTTATTTTTATTTTTTATTTATTTATTTATTTTGCGCACCAAATCAGCATATTAGAATGATTTCTGAAGGATCATGTGACTCTGAAGACTGGAATAAAGGCTGTTGAAAATTCAGCTTTGACATCAAAGTGATAATTTCTATTTTAAAATCTGTATTAAAATAGAAAACGGTTATTTAAATTAAAATAATATTTCATAATATTACTGTTTTGACTGTATTTTAATTGAATAAATTCAGCCTTGCTGAGCGTATAAGAGACATCTTTCAAAAACATAAAATAATTGATAATTTACAGACCCCAAACTTTAGGAAGTTTGAATTTTAGTGTAGAAATTTGTGTTTGTTTATATATATTTAATTTGATTTAATATTTAATATATTTCATTTTGAGGACAAGGATGGAAGAACTCAATTCTGAATTTTGTAAAACCCTAATAAACCATTTTCCTGCTTTTTATTCCGCACCCCCTCATTCTGCTCATTCTTTGTGAGTTTTTGGCTTTAGAAATAACACTGGGATTTTACGGTAAGAGGGAATAAAAGTCCATTATACATTCCGCATTCATGATATGCTCATGAATGCTTTCTCATGTCACACTATGAGCTGATAACTTTATATCCGTCCATGAATTTTTAAGCTGCAGATTTTGTTCAGGGAAGTATGGCTGTGAAAGGAGAGCAGGCTTGTATAGGTGAGACTTGCTTGACAGCAGTGTGAACTCACTGGTAGCTGCGTGGAGTCGACTGAAACAGGCAGGAGGTTGCTTCAGGCTTTTAGAGGTTCTTGTGTTAAGACTCAACTCTCCTTTATTGGCATTCTCTCCTGTGGAGCGTTAAGAATGAGGCAAAGCTACAGAAGCTTTTAGGGCATGAGAGCCAGAAAGAGAGAGAGAGTCTGATGAACGAGATGTAATTTTGGTTGAGGTCGGTATTTGGGGCCTTTCTCATAAAAAGTGCATGTCCTTGCCTGGCAGCTATTTATGGAGGTGCTGTTCCAAAATGTCTGCTCCAAAGCACAGTCCCAACCCCCTAAATCTGAAACATATATCATCTGCTTGACAGTACATCAAAGCTGAAGGGATGTCGACTGGTTTACAATGCAATACCGTTTGTTGCACAGATATCGCTGCAGAAATTTACATTTCTACACAGAGTGCGCAAGACTTGGTTTAGCAAATAAACGGAATGGTCTGATGCTAAAAATATGCAGTAATTCCTGTTAATTAAGGCCCATTTAAAAATTCTTACATAAACATGCATTCAGTTCATTAATGTGAAAAGTTCATAATATCTCACGCCCCACTTTTCTCCTGTTCCTGAATTTCTTTTACGTCTTGTGTGTTCTTCCATGTTCTTCCTCCTTGTGAAAGAAAAAGCCATCTTTGAGTGGTAGTTGTTTCATAAGTCATAGTTTTGTTTGCTGTGCTTTTGTATCCTTCATCAAACTTTGTACTGAATTATTGATTGTTTGCATGCAATGTTCTTTTTTTTAAGGTTCGTTTTAAAGCAATAATTCACCCAGAAATTAAAATGTACTCACCCTCAGGCCATCCAAGATGTAGATGAGTTTGTTTCTTCATCTGTACAGATTTGGAGAAATTTAGCATTACTTTCTCCCTTGCAGTGAATGGGTGCCGTCAGAATGAGAGTCCAAACAGCTTATAAAAACATCACAATAATCCACAAATAACCCAAATGGGAACTTTTGCATTAATACAGACCATTTTTCTTCCCTATGTTGCTTCCAGTTTCAAATTACTGATTTAAACTCTACAGAACTAGCAATGGACAAAAATGGTACTTTGTATTTGACTTGTTGAGAAAAGGTGTACTTTTACTTTTCTAAGAGAATCAGATTTACGGTTTTCACCTGGCAGACGATAGAAAATTCTCTTAGAATATCAAATACAGACTCTTTTGATTTTGGGCCAGTATGCAGCTACTTAGCAACCATCTGAACAAATCCATCATTAAGATGTTTTAAACTTCAAACGAGTCCTCCATTCATGATATTGCTTCCTCCAGTGAAAAAGTCAAACTGAATCAGTAAAGAAAAAATATGCACAGATAAAGCAACATTTATGCATCCGCATGCAGCTTATTAGCTATCACTCAGAAAACCCTAGAAACCTCCTAGCTACACTGTAGGAACAAAATCCACTGTAGGAACAAAATGTCCTCATGAACACCAACTGCATAGCAACCACCCTGCCAGCCAGCCAGAGTATTTTCCCTGAATCTCTTTGTGTTGGCTTCAAGGCTATGATAGCATTTCCCTGTTGTTTAAATCCGTAATTAATTTTCTGGCCTTAGTTCTGCTGGAGATGTCCTGCTGTTGGACAAAACACCTCTGGTGATATATTCAGCTGATCTCAGCAACCTTCCTGTGTTTTAGCTACTCTTTTTGTACCAAGGATTGATGCTGCCAGAGAGAAAGCTTCCTGGAAAACTCCCACCGGTGTCTTTGGCCTTCCTAATGAAGCTGCTGTTGCATGAGAGTCTCTGCATGTGAACTATGAGCTGTGAGCTTCCTTTACTTGTGGTTTCAGAGTATGAGCTTCATGATGATTCACCACGCTTGAATGACTCACAGCTTTATGCAGAGATACAGGTGTAGAACCTTCATAATTGGTGTCTTATCTTGTTTCATTTCCTGGTCTAAAGTGTGCTTATGATTATTGCAATGCAGTTGCAAGCATAATATTTATACTGCTTTTTATTTTTTTATCCGAACAGGAAGAGGCATTCAAGAGGACCTTGAACTGACCTGAATTCTTAACAATTTTCAACGCTAATGCAAAGCACAGAATGATAATCCTATAGAAGTTGACTTGTTCTCTCAGAAAATGCTCAGAGCTCAAAGTTAATTCTTGATTGCGGCATTCTGTAATCATATCAAGGAACATTTAGCCTCAGGAATAGCTAGTGATTAATTCATGCTGGCAAGTACAGCTTTATTCGGTCCATTGGAGTTCTTGGCTTTGTGACTGATAATGAAGCAGTATCCTGCACTAATGCTATCTGTTACGTATCCGGTCCATGAACTTCCGTCTGCTAGCCATCAGAGGTCACTATTTATCCCTTTAGTCTTGCCCTTTTGATTCTGTTCGTTGATCTTCGCTAGCCCTAGGATTATTCTTGTGTCTTGCCCGCCATATACCTGTTCGCCATTGTTCGACCCTGCCTGTGTTTCTGACCTCTCTGCTTTAATAAAGCTTGCACATGGATCCGCATGTCTCACGTCTTGTCAGCCCCGTAACACTAACAGACTGACAACAAATAAATAAGCAAAGTGGTTCCTCAGTAATGAAATCTTTAAAGTATAAAAGTCTAATGTAGATCATTTTAAACCAACAATACAAAGAAAAAAATGAGTTGGGTAATTGAGCATTTCACAAGTAAGGATGGGCATAGAAAGATGAAAGTCAATTGACTGTGTTCACCATTCTTAGCGAGAGTTATAAGGACCCTCTCTGGCTGTTAGAAACATACCATTACCTCTGTCTGCATGACTGAGACTGTTTATTGGTGCCATAATGAGCAGCAGTTTATCTCTTTAAATGCTTCATCAACACTCGACATCTGTCTAGTAATATAACACCAGTCAGTTATTATAAAGACCTCGTTAAAATGGTTTGATGAACTTACATATACAGTGGTGGCCAAAATTTTAAGTCAGTTATTTCTATCTTTTGTTGTAGTGTGTCAGTAGGAAATATCAATTTACGTTTCCAAACATTCATTTTGGCCATTAATTGTAATAGTAATCCAGTGAGATTTTTGTTTGCACAAGGAGTCTGACAAGAGCCAGTGCTCCACATAGAGATCTGATCATCATCCAGTCTGTCTGGAATGACGTGAAGAAACAGAACAAACTGAGACAGACTAAATCCAGAAGAACCGTGGCAACGTCTCCAAGATGCTTCAAGAAACCTACCTCCAAAGATACCTGAAAAACTATGCGCAAGTGCACCTAGGGCAAAAATCTATTTATGACATTATTTTGACAGCATCCTCATTTTACAGCATTTTTACACAAGTGCCTAAAACTTTTAACAGTACATTACCTTTGCAGGTAGGTTTCTTGATACATCTTGGAGATGTTGCCACAGTTCTTCTGGATTTAGTCTGTCTCAGTTTGTTCTGTTTCTTCATGTCATTCCAGACAGACTGAATGATGATGAGATCAGATCTCTGTGTGGAGCACTGGCTGTTCTCACACTACTTGTGCAAAGATAAATCTCACTGGATTATTACAATAAATGTCAAAATGAATGTTTGGAAATGTAAACTGGAATTTCACATTTAGACTATTGCAATAAACAATCTGTGATTCATGTACTGAATGATTGTTGAGACAGTGAGAGTGAGCCTTGGCTGGTGGCTAGTGACTTTGATGCCACCTAAAGGGCACATGAAAGTAAAGGCCCCTGTCAGAAAGACAGCGAGCCTGAGCAAGAGAGTCCTCTGTCAGGCTGCGGTGAAGGATCAGCGTTAGATTAGAGAGATCCTCTCCTCTCTAACCGGGTCACACTTCCACCTGACCAAACACATTCACAGCTGTTGCCTGGCAACAGAACTCTTCAAAATCCCGAATGTGGAATCCACCTCCTCTGATGTAGAGGCAGACAAAGCTGCTCAAGAGAAGTCACTGCAGCGTTAGTCCATCATTCATAACATTATCCGTGTCAGTAATATTCTCATCGCCAGCGCCAATGCTGTCATTCTTCATCATCATCATCACTGATGACAGCAGCATTATCATAAATATTATTTTGGTCGTCATTATCACTGCATTTATCATAATCATCATATAACATTCCTCACACACATCCCTGCGTGTATAAAATGGTGTATTTTTCAGCATGTTATGAGGTTTTATTTATTAGGCCTGACTGCACTTTTGAGCTGTGTTGAATGTGTCTTTGTGATGTGTAGTGAGGATGTGTTTTCAAAAGTAGGATGAGACAATCTCTAGGGACAAACAGATGGGTTTTTCATGTTGAAAAAGTCATGACATTTTATGAAAGCAGAAGATTCATGCACATATAAATTGAGGGGCCACATACCTACCTACCTACCTACCTATCTACTTAACTACCTACCTATCTATCTATCTATCTATCTATCTATCTAATCAAAATTATGTAGTGAGGTTGGGATTTGAACCTGAGTCCCTTTTCACAATAAACATTCATCTCAACTTATGTGAAGATAAAAAGTGTGTAAAGTCTTATGTGAAGTTAAGTGTTTTTTGTTGTTGTCTTATATTATTTATAGCAGGGATTTCAAACAAATATGATGATCCACTAAACAATAAAGGAAGCCGTATATAGTATATGTAGGCCTATAGTTTCTAATTTATGTATATGTTTAAAGACATATTTGTGCTGTGTAAAGAAATTTTATTCTAAATTAAATAGTAAATGTACTGTACCAAAGCTATCTGAAAAATGCTGACTTTGTAATAGCTGTCTTTTGTTTACCCTCAAAGTATAAACCAAATAGATTTTTATAGCCCTTTTCACAACAAAAAGCAGTTTAACAGATAACTTTGACAGTCCAAAGAAGTACATTGTTCATGTCCATCTTTAGCTTTACTGCGTTACATTTTGCAAAAGTGTGTTTCAGTTTTTTCCCTTTACTCTGTTTATACATATTTCATAGTAACACTTTCTGTACTTGGGAACAAATTGCTCAGTGGAGCCAGTGCTGTGTGCGATATGAAATATGGAATGGAATGTGTGATAGCACAAGCACAATTTGTGACATCCATGAGTTAAAAGCGCATCAGTGAGTGAGAAATGAGTGGGAGAATAGATGAACAGTCAATGTATTAATGAGTAGTCGAATCAATTCATTCTTAAGCTGTAAACAGGTACTGGATATCAATGGAAAAATGTCTATTTTCTCTTCTTGCTCTACCTCCTATTTTTGCTGCTTTGCCCTCGGTGTGAGTCTCTCTCTGCTGAGATGTTTCAGTCTCTTGCATTATAGAGGAAGCCAAAATCACAGATTTCAGTAAAGAGACTGAGACACAGCACTGCTGCGTTTGCAGGCAGTCCAGAATGTGGCCGCTAGACTACTGACAAGTACACGCAAGCATGAGCATATTACACCAATTTTATTGTCGCTTGAGTGGTTGCCGGTACGTTTCAGAATTGAATACCAACTTTTATTATTTGTTTTAAATCATTAAATGGCCTGGCTCCACCATACCTTGCTGGCTTATTAAAACGGCACACATCTGCTAGATCTCTTAGGTCCTCTGATCAACTGCTCTTGATTATTCCCAGATCCAGACTGAAACTTAGGGGTGATCGGGCTTTCTCAGTCGCTGCACCTAAACTGTGGGACATATTACCTTTACATATCAGAATGGCTCCATCAATATCTACTTTTAAAGCTCGATTAAAATCTCATTTACTATCCCATGCTTTTAATCTCGATTAGGTCTGGAGGCATGTTTTATTCTGAACTTGGATTAATTGTGTATGTATGTTATTTTTGTATTATTTGTTTTATGTATTATTACTAGTATTATATTGAAGTTTGTTGTACAGCACTTTGGGCAACTGCTGTTGTATTAAATTGTGCTTTATAAATAAAGAAAGAAGAAGTCGTCATTGGACCAAGGAAATAGTGCAATATTCTGCGTTATCTCCAGTTCAGCTTGGATCTAGTGTGAGCAGAAGTTCCCAGAGCCTTACAAACAAGGTTACTACAGCGTAATCTCTCTCTCTCCGTTATCTCTCGATCAGTCTCTATTCTCCATTTTCCTCTCTTTTTTGCCTCTGGATCGTTTCTCCTCTAAAATCAATATGAAGTCAATATGAAGGCAGCGCAGAGGGTGTATTGATAGAGTGTCTGACAGCAGGCCAGTGTTAGGCAGCTGTGTAAATGAATAATACATGAGCGCACTGTCAGACTGCAAACATGTCTTTATGGGAAAGTTTTACATGCACATCATGCTCATAATTTTACATGCTCATATTTATAATTATGTTTTTGAGTGATTGAGAAACTTCGTTGAAGAGAAAAACTGTAAAATTATCAACTACAACAATTTTGTGTAAAAATGAATGAATGAATGAATAAATAAATAAATAAAACATGTTTACACTACTAGTCAAAAAAATTGGAAAAATTATGATTTTATGCTTTTGAAAGAAGATTTGTATGCTTACCAAGGCTGCGTTTATTTGATCAAAAATACAGTAAAAATGGTAATATTGCAAGATTTTGACAATTTAAAATAACTTTTCTATTATAATATTTTTTAAATGTAATTTATTTCTATGATGGCTTTGCTGATTTTTCAGCAGCCATTGACATGAAAATGTATTTCATAACAGGAATAATTGGATGCTGTATGTTAAATAAGAAACATACAGCATGTCCACTTCTTTCGACAAAAGCAAATCCTGCTGTTCAAGAGCCATCCTTTCCTGAAGAATAATCCGTCTGCAAATCCATGTGGCTGGTGATTTTTTTAATTAAATCCTAGGCTGTGTCTTGAAGGCATACTCTCAGCATCATGACATTATGAAAAAGGGCATTAGCTCCATATCTAATGTGTTTCAGTCACACAAAGCCATTTGGTATAATAGAAAAGCGACCCAAGGCTAATCAGCGCTAATCAATTGTATTGAAATGCTCCTCAAAATATGATTGAAATTCCTGTTGAGAACATTATGCTGCTACTGTAACTGTGACCAATTTGAATTATTTTGAAACCTTTGAAGATCTTTCAGTATCTGGGCACTGGCATCTGTTTTTTAATATTTCATCTCATTCGTTCATTAACATTTCTTGCTAACACAAGCAATACTGTTACTTTTGATCATACTTAAGGTTACTCTTGGTATAAAACTGTGTGTAATTTGTCCCACATCATTTGTGCTGTGGACATGAGTGATTCACAATGGTGCAACTGTTTTCAAAAAACATTGGGTATGTTGGATCCTTTAATATATTTATGGAACTGTATGCTAAAACACTTGATTGGTGAAAATTATCTCTCATCCAATTATGATTGGCTGCTTTCTGCTGTAGTGCAAGAGAAATTTCATCAGACAGGAGCAACATTTGCATTAAAAATCCTGAACTGTAATCAATAAATATCCATGAGCACCTGCATGCACTTTAGACTGATGGCAGTGAATTTGAAGCTACTGTAGTACAAAGCCGCCTAATGAATACAAGACTGCTATTAAATCTAATTTAAGAGCAAATTAGAAATTGACTATAATTAAGAGGTGATTAGAGCATAGACTATAATTGAGATAATTACTGATAGTCTCCAGTTATATTTCTGAAACACCCATGAAGTCTTATACACATTATATTGCTATGTTTTATCCATTTAAATTCAATATTAAATAAATATGTTGTTGATTTCACCTTGCTTGGTTTCTTTCTCAGATCCCGCAGTGGCATCAAAGTAAGGGTGTGTGAATAGAGAGAATAGAGAGGATATAAATGAAAAGTAAAGCAGAAAGCAAATCTGGCAGCTGCCTTCTAATATGTTTAAACACAGACAGTTTGGACTTGTCACAGAAGGAGGGTTTTTGTTTAAGCTAATGTTATATGACATTGAACCATCAGAAAGGCAATATTAGTAACAATATTAACCTCTGCTTCTCAAAGGCACCTTCTTATTTTCAACCCGACTTGTTTCTATAGCAACAGCTATGAAAAATGTATGCTGAACTTTTCATATTGCGTCTCTCTGAGAACTGTAAAAATGCCGCTGGAAATTCCTATATATGAGATAACTGAATCTGTGCTTAACAGAGATAGAGAGTTTTATGATAGAGGCTATATCTAAAATATCTGTAGCATTTCATAATTCTGGTGTCACCTATTATTATTGAAATGCATCTGATCTAATGTTAATTCAATTTATTAATTTTTATTACACAGAATACTTAATTATGATTGGCCAGTCACAGCATTCACCAATCTGATATTTTCTAAAATAATCAACTTCATACAGTATGTGGCAGTCCAATCTCTTGTAAAATTACCTCAGAGGATATTTCAAAGGGATATTTTATCCATAAATGAAAATTCTGTTACTCTCATGTTATTCCAAACATATGTATTTTCATTTTTGTATGAACTATCCCTTTAACTATCAATATTATTATAATTTTTTGCAGTGTTTGTCTTATTGCTAGGCCAATTGTACATTACCCAATCTTAGCTTTCAATTTACAGATAATACTCTAAAATTGCATTTATTTGTTGGGCATTTGTTTAAATTTAAGTGCAACAAGTCACCCTGTTGTTGTATATTCAGTAATATTAGTGATATGACTGCACTGACACCATTGGATGAGAACAAAGCTAGAACTGAATTAAGCTGGATGGTGACTATTGTCTTCTGTAGATCTGCTTTATAGCTGAATTGAACTTGTTTAAAAAATGATGAACTTTACTTTGTTATTGATCTCAACTGAACCCACACTGAACTGACTTGAACTAAATACTGACACTATTGTCTTTTTAGAGCTGCTTTACCTCAGAATTTGAATTGTCTCCTAAATAGTGTTTCCAAAATTGATGTTTATTACTGTCAAGCTGCTTACAATACAATCTGTATTGTATGAAGAGCTAAAGAAATAAAGGTAGCTTGAATTATTTTGCAATAATGGCCAGCACAAGCTTTTTAGTAGATAGTAGCAATTTTTGCCCCAGCTGTGACACATAGTCAAAAGTGACATTCATATTGACGCCATGCATTAGTAACCACAGAATAGCATGAAAACTGCTCTTGTATGCATTCTTGAGGTACAGCACTTACATAAGTAGGACAGTGTGCAATAGAAGTTCTACTACCCTCATAACAGACATGTAGTATTTCTAAATGGCTGTTTAAGTGAAAGTACATGAGGTAAGGCAGGTAAATTAATAATTTGTTGCCTTTTGTCTGAAGGAGAAAGCCTTAGTCTGGAGGATGTGAAGAGCAGGTTGTGGCCTTGGTGTTTAATATCTCCTGGCTTTATTCAATTTTTGCTTACAAACATTGGCCGGTAATCTCTTTATTTGCCTGATCTTTATTCCACCATGCACTTTGCACACAGCTATAGTGACAGTTATTAGGAGATTTGTTAGGATTACTTTCTCTAAGACGTTTCTCTTTACTTTTATTCTTTAAATGATTTGCGTATGAGTGAAAAGGAATACATTTATGGTTTGCTATCTTTGAAAGGGTCTTTAGTTTTACTGATAGGGCTGTGGGGGTACTACTGCATTAAAGTAACAACTTTTTAATTGGAATAGCACACAGAAAATAATCTCTTCGTATTTCTCTTTTTTATGAAACCTTTTCTTTTGTTTATGGGCATATTCACTGTGTTCTGGATTTGGAAGTTTAGGTGATGTTGAATATGTTAAGCTGTAAGTCAGATGACAATTACATGTTATGCAGTGTTGATATACAGAACAAAGAAATCTTGAAGAGCTTTCTTTTCTGCTGCTGGCGTCTTCATGCTGACTTTCCCTTAGGCTTCTGAGTACCTGCCTGAGGCACAGACCAGTCAGACTCCATTGCATATCATATGATCAAAACTGAAACACTCTCACATACAGCTGGCAGAAGTGTCTCCGGTTTACTGAGTGAAGTGACTCACTGTGCAATGTACTTCAGCACCTACTGAATTAACTCTCTCATAGTTTTCTCATACAGTTTTAGTACATGTATATTTACAGTCATATTTTCACAAACTTTGACAATGCAACACCCACATCAGATATAGAAAAGTTTACTGGGGTCATTTCCTTGGGACTGCTCTTATTTCACTGTGAAAATGGAAATGCGAAGTGTTGCCATTAGGGTTCTCAGAGATCAGAAGTGAGAAGGGTGAGACTAAACGCTGCAGTATGCTAAGCGTCTGGTGATAACTGCCCTAATTTGTGTTATCAGAGGAATTACATTCTCGTGCTTAGACCTACACTGTAAAAAATGACCGTGAATTTACCGGTAAAAGACTGTAAAAATGCTACAGTAAAAACCTGTTAAATGGTTAACGGTAAATTCCCCTACTATATACAGTGAAAAACAGTATTGGGCATTACATGTATTGGACATTAATTTTACGGTAGTATACCGTTTTTGGAAGTGAAAAAGACTGTATAATTTACAGTGAATAACCGTAAACTGACATTCCCAGAATTCCCTGTGTTACATTTAAAATTTGATGTTTTTTTTTTTAATAATTATGTTTCTTCTTAGTTTTTTCTTTCTAGTTTTGTATATTAGGGTTGTGTGTTACACCTAATGTTGTTAAATGAATGTTTATTGCATTATTTCAGTTTCATGTGTGTTACCATGATGGTGTTTAGTGTTTGTGTGAATGACACTGTGCACCTTCTATATATATTATTATTTAAAAGCTACTTGTGATGGGCTTTGGTTCATCATGTGACTTTCTCATTACCACCTGCATTTGGTGGTTATCAGTGTATTACAAAGGTACAAAACAGATTTCAGTACTTCAATAGGTTGGTATATTAACATTATATCAGTTAATGAATCAGTTAATGAATCAGTTAAAATTTCGGCAACCACAGCTGCCATTTTTTTACCGTAAATTTTACGGAATTTGTTTTTACAGTGTATGTGCCAGACCTACTACAGATATTTTTTTTATTATTATTTATTTATTTTATTTTTTTGACCTGTGAAACAGCCACTTTTCTGCTTTTTTTCTGTAAATGATACCAGATAAATCGTACATCAGTTATTCTGTTCCATGCACTATGGCATAATACATTAACTACGACAACACCGAAAGATAAAAATGGCTTCATAGGGTTAGGGACTTGCATATTTGTTTGTGTGTTTAATTTTATATTGTTAAATTTTAGTGTAGATGTTTTTTTATATCTGAATAACAATAATCTGAATAAGAGTTTTTCCTGCAATTTTTAGTCATTAGAACAACAAAGTATTACATTATAAATGTGTTTATACATGTGTTGGTGTGTGCTTGTGTGTGTGTATGTGTGTGTGTGTGTGTGTGTGTGTGTGTGCGTGCGTGTGTGTGTGTGTGTGTGGTTTTAATTTTAGTTTTAGTTTTAGTTAACTATAATAACCCTTTCTCAGTAATACTGATTAGAAAGTATTATACAAATCAGTCATTTGGTAATTTTGCACATGCTGAATAGTAAAAACCCTGAAATTATATTATAGTTATAAAGCTATAGCTGAGATCCTGCGCTATTTTAACTGGACTTACGTCTCCACAGTTGCCTCAGAGGGCGATTACGGCGAGACAGGTATCGACGCCTTTCAGCAAGAGGCCCGGGCCTTGCAAATCTGCATCGCTACGTCCGCCAAGGTCAGTCGCTCCATGGACCGCTACAGTTACGACGGAGTAATCAGATCTCTGTTGCAGAAATCCAATGCTAAAGTAGTAATCCTCTTCACCAGAAGTGAAGACGCAAGAGAGCTCCTGGTTGCAGCAAAGCACATGAACGTGTCCTTCATCTGGGTGGCCAGTGATGGTTGGGGGGCGCAGGAGAGTGTGGTGAGAGGGAGTGAAAATGTAGCGGATGGAGCTTTTACCATTGAGCTCGCATCTTATCTGATCCCTGAATTTGCAACATACTTCACAAACCTCAATCCTTACAACAACACACGCAACCCCTGGTTCAGAGAGTTCTGGGAAAATAGCTTTCAGTGCAGCCTGCATGACATTAATTGTGGGAAGCATTCTCTCCGGGATGGCAAATTCGAGCAGGAGTCCAAGATCATGTTTGTGGTGAATGCTGTCTTTGCTATGGCCCATGCCCTTCACAACATGAGGCAAGCAGTGTGTTCAAACACCACCAAACTCTGCAGTGTCATGAAACCAGTCAATGGAAAAAAGCTGTACAAGGACTACATCCTGAAGACAAAATTTGAGGGTCAGTTTTATCTTGAAAATTTTTATTTTGTATATTCTGTTATTATTTATTCACCTTTGTATCATTCCAATTCCATATAATTTTCTATGGAAAATGGTTCATGATGTGAAATGATGAAAAGTAATACTATAACTTTGTGCAAAGAATGGACTAAAATGTTACTTAGCAAAATCTTCCATGGTGAAATAGTGAACAGATCTAGTAAACATCATAGTATACAGTGTAAATATATGTATATATGTACTGTATATGTAAGGATATACCTGTAAATAAAAAAGCAGGTATATAGGTTTATATTGATATTTATGGATGGCTCCCATATGCAGTTTTCAATAATCTTGAATCCTGGGATATCGATTCACGTTCACCCCATAGAATAATGTTAATATTTGCACTCATCCAGTAGTTTAAATCTCAAAGCAAACACCGGTTGAGCAGTATATCTTAATAAATGAATGTCAATTCTTTATTAAGTCAAAGAAATCAATTTGAAAGATAAATGGATCTAAGTTTTCCTCAGGGGAAAACTGCTGCTGTAAAATAGATTACACTAATGCATGGATGCAACATATGACCTGCGTACAGACTAAGTGTTTTATTACATGCATTAGCCTCATTAGCCCCATGCTAACTTATAAATTATTTAAACAAGTACAAGCACGGATGTATATTAAATGTCTGTGCTGAGTGGTCAATTGCTCGTATTAGGGAACTAATGGGAATCTGTCAGGTTCCTATAGCTATTCTTTATCTATTTCTAAATCTTTTCGCCATCTGACTGCTTTTTCATGATGTTCTTTTAAGAATGCCAAATTACATCATAGAAACCCGGCAATGTATCAACCTCCTGACCTCAATTATGTAAATGTACCATTCGCACCTGAGTCCAGTGCATCTACAAACCTAATGTGCTAAGAAATGTGCAGGGCAGGATGCTGAAGAAAGTATGGTGGGCTTACATAAGAAGGTCTTTCTGGGTTGTAAATTTTCTGCTTACAAAGAAAAACACTTTGCTGTAAAATATCTATTCATCTGTTGCCAAGAATGTAAATAAATTATGTTTATCACTTGCACTTTATGTCCGCAGCTCCATTTCGCCCAGTTGATACAGAGAACAATGTTTACTTTGATGCTTATGGAGACAGTCTGGGCCGCTACAACATCTTCCATTATCACAAAGAGAATGACGAATACGTATATAGGAAAGTGGGATACTGGGCTCAGGATTTAACTCTGAACACAAGCCTGATTCCTTGGGAAAGCCAAGTGGTGCCCACGTCCCAGTGCAGCGACCCATGTAGGAAAAATGAAATAAAGAGCATGCAGCCAGGTGATGTTTGCTGTTGGATTTGCATCCCCTGCCAGCCCTACCAATACCTTCTGGATGAATTCACCTGTGCGGATTGTAGCTTCGGACAGTGGCCTTTGGACAATCTCACGGGGTGTTACAATTTACCCGAGGAGTACATTCATTGGGAGGACGCTTGGGCTGTTGGGCCGGTCACCATTGCTTGCCTTGGCATGCTCTGCACACTCTTTGTCATTGGCCTCTTCTTAAAGAACAATGAGACACCGGTGGTGAAAGCTAGTGGACGTGAGCTCTCCTATATTCTTCTCATAGGTGTCCTACTTTGCTATTTCATGACCTTCATCTACATCAGCAAACCTTCTGCCGTAGTGTGCACGTTACGGCGGCTTGGCCTGGGAACTTCCTTCGCCGTTTGCTACTCCGCGTTGCTGACCAAGACCAATCGCATCGCTCGGATTTTCAATGGCGTTAAAGATGGAGCTCAAAGGCCGAGGCTCATCAGTCCAGCTTCACAGGTGGCCATCTGTGCTGCTCTTATTTCCTGTCAGCTCCTGGTAGTGGTGGTCTGGCTTCTGGTTGAGGCTCCTGGGGTGAGAAAGGAGGTCAGTCCTGAAAGAAGAGACGTGGTGACATTGAAGTGCAACAGCAAGGACTCTAGCATGCTGATGTCTTTAACCTACAACTGTGTCCTCATCATCTTCTGTACCTTTTACGCCTTTAAGACTCGAAAGTGCCCAGAGAACTTCAATGAAGCCAAGTTCATCGGCTTCACCATGTACACCACGTGCATAATCTGGCTGGCTTTCCAGCCAATCTTCTATGTTACTGCCAGTGACTATAGGGTAAGTAAATATGACCGGTACAATGCATGGTTGCAGCAATACCTCACCAACAACACCCAATAGCTTGTCAACTTCTATGAAAATAATAACCTATAATAAAAATCAGCGCTTTATGTTAGAGTCAAAATTAAATGTCATTAGCAACCTACTTCCATAATGAGTGAACTGTATATTCAGAAGGAAAGAACTGAAGAAAAGTGATTTCATTCATTTACTGGATTGTGAAAAGTGTTGTAGAATAGTATGAATCCAGGTGGTTTGGAGGAGAAGGCTTGAAACTAAGAGGGATTTGTAATGTCAGCCCCAAAAAGGGAAAGTTATTTTAGAGGTGGAGTCAATTATATAATAATAATAATAAATAATGATACAATTTTTAAAAAATAAATAAAAGAAATTGAGCCTTAAACATGTGTGTATACATATTAATATTGCACAATAAGACCAGCATGTCAAAAACAATCATTTTGATTTAATCTAATGTGAGGACCATTTTTAAATGTCAATTTTGCTCAGCATAGTGGAGTTTTGGCTCTGCTAGTCTCCCTCAATGTTGATAATGAATGCTTTGCCTGAGTGTTCTGTATAACAATGTGATTTCTTTGAGAAGTAAATCTTGTGCCGGGGGGATATTACCGGCTCTCCTCTGGGAATAGATATCAGAGGGGCTGTTTCAAATCACACTGCACACACAATGACAGCATGGAATATTTTTCATCATTTAGATAATGAGCTTCCCTTATAACCCTTAATCACTTTCCGACACTGACTTTATCCTTTATTTTTAGCATATATACAATTTGACTGAGAGCAAGAGTCTGAGAGTTTGCCTGATTTAATTTTTTTTTTACCTGCCAATTCAGATGGCAGATAGAGAAATCTCTTTGATCACCTGTCTTTTGCACTGATGAAAGGAGAAACTCACATTTCATGTGGCTCAAAATCTGTTCAATGTAGAACAAAGAAAGTGGGGATATTTCATCCCAGCAAATGACTAGCCTATGAAAACATACTATTCAATTGGTCTGAGTATCCTTCACCCAAGTGCCTCAGGAAAGGAACTATTAAATAAATACCTTTACACTTTTGAAGCACAGTTTTACAGACCTTTGATGCATGCATTACATAGAAATCAAATGAAAAAATATCTCAAGGTTTATTTTTAGTTCTAATTATTATCTAATATTATTATTAATATTTGGTTGGTTAAAATTGTACTTGAGTGAAAATCATGAAGCAAAGCATTACAGTGCAGCACAAATTTGTATATATATATACGTGCAAGACAGCTCAGTACTTGTAAAGACAGTCAGCACTGCTGGTAAGACAGCCACTGTATATTTTATTTGGATGCTCTAGTAAGCAAAAAGAAGGACAGAATGTGATCCGGCGATGTTAATGGTTGTAGGAAGTTTTATATCATCTATCAAGACAAGAAAGAATTCAGACAAAAAGAGACAAAAAGACATCGGGAAAGAAAAGGGAATATCCTTGCGTTTTGATTGGACAGGATGTCATTCTGTGTTCAGTGTTTCTGCGTTTTATAAATGTGTGTGAGAGTGTGAGGTGATGTGTTAGAGCAGTGTTTCCCAACCTTTTTTTAGTCGCGGCACCCTTTGGAAATTTTAACAAACTTGTGGCACCCTACAAAATTAATTTTGTCACAATATTTTAATTTCTAACTTCGATATGATAATTTGAAAAGTATAGATATTCGGTACAACAGGAAAGACGGTTGGGAAACACTGTGTTAGAGCATGGGAGGATGATTCCCAGCTGGGGCCTGTGCTCAGAAAGCAAGGTGTGCCTTAGAGACCAAGACCTCACCACACTCCCACACACACTCACAGGAAATGCTACAGTCTCATTCATCCCGCAGATATCATTTTACTTCTAGCATTTTTGATTCTCACCTACAAAATACAATATGCCGAAGAAAAAGCACACACTGCTTGTAAGATTAATATCATAAATCTTCAGAATCAGACTTACAACAAAAATGTGGAACCAAAATAAAATAGTGGGGCCAATACAAAATAATTTTGGATTCAAAATCCTAGAAATAAACAGTATATTTATATATATACACACACATACTGGTAAAAAATGTATAGCCTGAATGCACTGTAAGTCGCTTTCGCTCCAGATACAGTACCAGTCTTTCAATCTGATATTTTGTTAAAGAACATTCAATGTGATATTCTATATGAAAATTGCATGTTTATGAAGACAAGAGCAAGGGTTGCTGGGAAAGCATATAAGACCTTTCCAAGCAAAGCTCCCCTCTGAATATATGCATTATTTAAAAGCACTTTGGTTTATTCTGACGCATTGCTGCTTTCACAGAAATACTTTCAAATCTATCGTACTGAGAGAAAAAAAAGAATGAGCAACTCTTTGTTCATTTGGCATTGAGAGGAAAACTCTAATTAATCACAGCTGAACCATGTATTGCAATTATTCAACAAGGTCATATTAAAGTTTCTCCAATCTGTGACCCTGAGACCATAACCATAATGTTTTGTGATACAGTTCAGATCAAAACTAGCAGTAGCTAGCTGTTCAGGAAACCTTTGTATAATGAAAATCCTCCTGTTGCCCAACTCAAAGAGCATAGCAATGGCAAGGCCATGGGTTTGAAACCCAATACACATACTGATAAAAATGTATAGCTTGAATGCACTTCGATTTGGATAAAAGCATCTGCCAAATTAAATGTACAACAATACAAGCCAACATCTCAGCCAAAGCATTGAAAATCTTAGAAACAGTGCCTGTTTATTCACCCCCTCTCTCTTCAAAATGTTATTTGGCAATGCATGTCTCTAATACCTGTATTAGTATGCATGAGATTGCTCATACACAGCACACACACCTGCTTTGCACGTGGATTTATCCTCTTAAGATACATTTTCAGCCGCATAGGCTTTGGCAACACTTTGGAATTGAGTTCAATGGAAAAATAAATTCAATCCCATGTTAACATCCCTGATGAATATGAATCAGTCAGGTGGTATCACTGTGTAAATGTAAAGGTGGTGTAATCACTTTTTTGTGTGTACTCTCTCAGGTACAGACCACTACCATGTGCATCTCTGTGAGTCTGAGCGGTTCAGTAGTGCTGGGCTGCCTCTTCGCTCCAAAGATCCACATCATCCTCTTTCAGCCCCAGAAGAACGTGACCACACTCAGAGTGGCCACCACTCGATTCAGTGTGGCCACTGGCCCTGGCTCCAGCTTCTCTCAAGGTACAGTATTGTTTATGATGATCTCTATCTTTAATATATCAGAATCATCAATATAATCAACAGCAGCTGTTTAAATCTAACATATTGATTAACTGCTGTCACCCATATTCAAAAATATGGTTTGCCAATGTCTGAACCGCCATCAGAAATGAAAGATATTGATCAAAATATTAAGTGCTGTATGATGGCAGAGTAATATTGGAAAATAAACATAAAGTATCATTGATTCTGTGAGTGCAGGTATTTGGCTTTATTGCATTGCACTGATACTTCTACTGTAGCCCTGAAGCCTACGCTTAGGATAGATACATACTGTATGTGAATCTCACGAAATGGTTCAATAAAATATTTCACCTCAAAATGACAAATAAATAAATTAGTATTATGATAAAAAAAGATCTCATTCTCAATAATGTACTGGGAAAATAATAATTCTACTTTTTTAAATGGTACAATGCTTAATATGCATCATGGGAGCGTTTGTGGTACAGCTTTTAATCAGTGCTGCATTAAAAAATATATATACCACAGTGATTTATACTGTATTGCAGTAATAGAAATGTAAGGAGAAATTAGAATAATGGAAATTACATTACAGAAAAAAGAAGCAAAACAGTGAGGAAAAATAATATTAGAGTTAATTGTGTTTAAAAAAACAAACACACTGCAAAGTATGTATGGAGCCCCGCATATGTCATGTGGGAAAAAAAAATATATACAAATCGTGTCTACGAATTAAGAATTCATACCCACAAACTAAGAATGTGTTCCCTCATTTTAGTTTAATTGTTGCCACGAATTAAGAATTCATTGTACTAATTTGTTATTTTGTTTTGGTAAAACGTGGCCACTTAGTTTGTAATAATTTGTTCCCTTGTTTTAATAAAATCAAAAAAAGGAACAAATTAAGTGAATGACCTGATTATTCGTTGGAACAAATTCTTAATTCATGGCCGCAATTTAATGAAAACTATGGAACTAATTAATCAAATCAGAGAAGAAATTCATTACAGTCTCAGATGTGCGTTATACTTCTAATCATTCAGTGGTCCGTTGTCAGTTATTCCTTACATATATAATCAATATATATATTTTTGTCAGCATGTCCTGTGCATGGCTCTGAATTAAAGTAAAAAAAAAAAAAAAAGTTCATGATTCACCCAAAAACATCTATTGAATGGCAATGGTAATAACTGTGATTTGCAGTTTACAATATCTTTGTGTTATTAACAATGTCTTTACAGCCTCGGCCTCCAACATCGTGCCTACAGTATGTAATGGCAGAGAGGTAGTGGACTCAACAACATCCTCACTCTGAGAAACAGGATTCCTGTTTGATTGCCAAATGCGGTATACAGATAAATCTTATCTTCACTAGTCATGAAATCAAGTGTTTGCTAATGTTGAGGAGGCTATTCGGAATAAAGAATGCCTGTTATGTTGTTCTCAACGTGCTGTGAGTACAATATCCCATTTTGTTTCTCTCTCTCTTTCTCTCTCTGACTAGTTAGATAATATCAGTAGGATGCCAGTTTAAACTCTGTATACCCGTTCTTTTTATGGAAACCATAATAAAGTATTGTTTGAGATATGGAGTTAAAATATAGTAAATCTGTTTAAAGTATTATATACAAGATGTTTTTAATGTAGATTTATGGTGATTCTGGTTTGTGCTTTCTTGTAATTTATGTAAATAAAATGTGTTTTATATGAATACAAGCTCTCCTGGTTGATTTAACTTGATACTGTCTTGTGGTAGTTTATTATATTATATCACATTATATTATATTTCAATTCCCATCAGTGTACACTGGAAGAAATTACACACATCAGCTTTAAAGAATTAAATATTTACACAAATGTTCATTAATTCTGTTGTTAATTAACAACAGAATAAAAACTTGTGCATTGTCCCCATCTAGAGGATATAGTTGCTCATTACATCAAATTGGGTTAGGTCAACTTTTATTAATAAAGTAATATTCATATGTTAAATGCTAATTTGTTGCACCGTGTACAATAATGTGTGACCTTTTTATAATATAGGTGATATGCAAATGCAAAAGTCATTTAAGTAGCTACCATGTTGGAAGATAAATAAACCATTAAGAAAAATAACAAGACAAAATATTGCAAATACTGCTATTACTGCACTACATATTTAATGCACATACAGCAGTCTACTGAAGAAGAATCATGTCTCATAGACAAAGTATCATATTTATATATCCTTAATCTTTAATAATCACAATGTTCACATATGTAGCCTATCACAGTCTGACTCGTGTTACAGAAAGGGTAAATGATATACACTATGTTGCACACTCAATCATTTGTGGCGAAATGACAAAAAGGAAATTGTCCTGTCAACCTGATACATTCATTTTTGTGATGGTTATATCTGCGGTCATTTTTTGCCTCATTTATAACAGTGAGGCCTTCTGCTGAACTGTCCATATACCCCCATTGGAGGATTGTTCATTTTAGACTGTTACTTTTAAACAGTATTTTTTTGAATATTGACTATAAAAACTGCTTCCGTTTAAGCACTGCTTCCATTCAAGTCAACCAGCATTATACCTTACATTAAGAGAGAAGTTTGATGTTACTGAATTAATTGTAGGCTATGTCATGTTATACAGGTCCTAGTTTTGAAACAACTTGTAACAATAAAAGTTAATAACTTGACAAATAAGAGTTTTTAAATATAGTTTTCCCCCTTTAAGATACACCAGGACAAACGTTGGCATGTATATTATCAGAGAAATTCACTAAAAACAATAAGCCGTACTAATAAGGACAAGACTAATTGATTGATTGGTTGATTGATTGATTGAACGTCATGAACATTTTCATCACGTCAAATTGTGTATTTTACGAATTTTGAATTTTATTCCAACTTCGGTGACATATACAACTGCCATTAAAATATTAGAAAATGAGAATTTTCATTTATCTTTTTACAGTACTGCAGTAACTAAACTACAGTTACTGTGGTAAATTTTTGCTTCCTGAACGTCTGAGCAACTGTCGTGACGTTGACGTAAACTCGCTCAGAAACGCGGAAGTCAGGCTGCAGACAGTCCCGAAGCGTCAGAGTGAATCTGCAAACTTTGTCAGCACAGTTACTAGCAGGTAAGTATCATTTCATATGACTAATAATAAAATCGCCAGATATTTTTTAGCGGTCATATTGCTCTGGGCTGTGTTTCCCAAAAGCATCGTAAGCTTATGTACATCGTAAATCCATTGAAACCAATGGAGCTACGATCAATTTAGGCTTACGATGCTTTTGGGAAACGCAGCCCTGTTACGTTAGGCTATATGTTGCTACAAGTATGTAAAGCTACAGCTGCAGGTGTGCATAAAGAACACTCAGTTTAGCTACAAGCTTTGCGTTAACGACATGGCTCCTGACTCACCGCGAATATCAACACATTATATCTTTACTCGTGAACATATTTGTCAGTTAGCAAGTGTTTTCATTGTTGACTAGACACACCCCCGTGGTTTCAATAAAGGCATTTTCAATGTTGCCAAGCTCTGTTAGGCTGCCAGGAAGATCTACGTCACTTACAGTAAACTCCAGCATGTCTGCACCTGTCTCAGAAGTACAGTCATGGCCAAAAGTTTTGGCAGTGACATAAATTTTGTGTTTTGCAAACTTTGCTGCTTACGCTGTTGTGGTGTTCATTCACTTTGTTTCTAGATTATTGTGTAGCGTGATCAGATGCATTTTAAATAATTGCTAAAAGTCTCATTGGCCAAAAAATTAACTTTTCACAAAAAAACACATTTCACTGTTTTTTGATCCTGACACAAAATGGCCAGCTAACATTAATTGACTAATCATATCAGCAGCAAATGTGAAAGTGTGAATGAGTACTAGTCAGGTAAAATCACTATCATACTAATTAGATTGTAAGAGCAGACTGATTGCTATAAAAGGAGGGAAGAAGCGATTCCAATCATTGTGTTCTTGTTAGCAATGGTTACCTCCAAAGAAACACGTACAGCCATCATCGCTTTGCATCAAAATGGCCTCACATGCAAGGAAATTGCCACAAAGAATATTGTACCTGAAAGAACTATTTACCGGATCATCAAGAGCTTCAAGAAGAGAGGTTTGACTGCAGTGAAGAAGTCTTCAGGACATCCCAGAGTGTCCAGCAAGCGCCAGGACCGTCTCCTCCTGAGGAGTCAGCTACGGAATCATGTCACCAGCAGTGCAGAGCTTGCTCAGGAA